CTTTAATGCCATTATCTACAACGCTATGGGAACAGCGACTTTCAGTAGCAGGTAGTCTTGACTGAGAGTCTGCATCTCCGGCTGCCTTGACCAACGCACAGTCAGGGCTTGTTATCAGCTCGGAGAACCAAATCTTGCTTCTTGGGAAAGCTCAAGTCTTGAGAAAACTCAACAACTGTAGTAATAATCTGTATCAGCAGAAATTCTTAGTGATAAACTAAATCCTTTGAAATTTAGGGAACAAACAGGAAAATTTAGAAAAATGAATAGGAATGCTAGGAAATCAGGGAGAGAGGATAAATGCTGGCAGCATGTGCACGCCTGCCTACGTATGCGCAATCTCAGTATTTTTTCCTAATACATTTAGAAGCTATCTGCGTGAGAGCACAGCCTCGCTCTGCAGTTCCTTCCCAAAGTGCCTTTCGTACTAAAGGATTCCAAAGTTCCACGCCCACATCAAGACATATGGGGTTTTTCAAAATAGAAATATCACAGAGAATCAGCAAAGCAAGTCTGAAATCTGTCCAAGGGAATGAGAATTTGAAGGACTCACTAAAAAGACATCTAGATTCACTCGGTCTCAGGAGCCCAGACCGGAAACGGCTCTAAGAGACTACGATAATAACAGCAACAGCAGCTTACCCTTCTTGCATGCTGCCCATGCAGTTAATCGACCCATTCATGCGAGCGCCCTGCCGGAGGCTTTACCTGCATTCTCTCATTGTATCTCCGCACTACCTTGTGAGGCATGTGCTTTTCACTGCTACAGAATTCACAGATGAGGAAACGAGGGCTTCGTAACTGCCCCAGAGCACGCAGGCAGCGGAGTGATGGAGTCCAGATCCAAACTCACAAGTCTGACTCCAGGGCACATGCTCTCAAATCCAGCGCCACCCAGTCCTAAATAAATGTTTTTCCTAAACAGGGGCCCTTAGGCCATCGTATTGTAAAGATACTCAATTGACTTTTGAACAAACTAGGCTCCTATGCCAAAGCCTCTACTTTACAAATAAACACCCGAGGCTCAGAGCATTGGGATTTTTCTCTCCGAATTTTGTTAGTCATGTAACTGAGACTGAAGAACACCTACAGACAAATTCTATCACCCCAGAAACACCTTCGTTAGTATAAAAGTTTCCCTTAGTGATTTAACACCAACGATGCCCAGAATTCACTGGTGTTCGCGCACCACGCTAGGTACTGTGCTAGTTAGTGCTTTAGCAGCATTATCTCAGTTAACTATTTAACTGCATTTTGTCACAGCAGAACCCTGTTCTGCATTCCTAGGACACTGTGAAACAGTCCTCTCCGGCCACGTCTCAGGTTTCTCTCTAGAAGAATGATCCCTTCTATTTCTATTTAAGATGGAATCTGGCTCTGGTGACCAAGGATCTGTCCACATGGACAGTGTCA